GTACTTCTGCGCATCCGCAAAGCGCAATTTAGCACTTCTGTGCATGCGCCACTGCCGAAACCTGGAAGTAATCCGTTCTGGTACTTCTGGGTTTTGGCGAGTCAGTAACCCGAAAAAACAAAACCTGAAGCATCTGTAACCCGAGGTATGACTGTATTTCCTTGACGTCTGAATGGTAGGGCATTCCACAGGCAGGCGCCACTACCGAGAAGGCCCTCTGCCTGATTATAGTTATAATTTTATAATTTATACCCTACCATCTGACTGGATTGCCTCAGCCACTCTGGGCGGCTTCCAACATATATAAAAATAATAAAAAAATATTAAACATTGAAATAAAACTTTCCATATCCAGAGCTGCCTTCAGATGTCTTCTAAAGGTTGTATAGTTCCTTATCTCCTTGGCTCAGGGGTCGCCTGCCTCCATAACCCTCCAGCATTTCTCCAATGAAAATAATAATAATAATAATAATTTATTATTTGTACCCCGCCCATCTGGCTGGGTTTCCCTAGCCACTCTGGGCGGTTCCATAGAAACCAAAAATACACTAAAATATCACACATGAAAAACTTCCCTGAACAGGGCTGCCTTAAGATGTCTTATGAATGTCAGGTAGTTGTTTATCACTTTGACATCTGATGGGAGGGCGTTCCACAGGGTGGGCGCCACTACCGAGAAGGCCCTCTGCCTGGTTCCCTGTAACTTGGCTTCTCACAATGAGGGAACCGCCAGAAGGCCCTCGGCGCTGGACCTCAGCGTCCGGGCAGAACGATGGGGGTGGAGACACTCCTTCAGGTATACAGGACCGAGGCCGTTTAGGGCTTTAAAGGTCAACACCAGCACTTTGAATTGTGCTCGGAAACGTAACATCCTAAGGAAAAGCAGGACATTCTGGGATCAAATCAGAAACTGGGACGGCTTCTGCAAATCTGGGACTGTCCCTGGAAAAATAGGGACATTTGGAGGGTCTGAAATATTGGTTCACTAGGACAAATGGGGCACTGCCCCACCAATCTGTCTGGCTGAGAGGTGCAGTGGTCCCGGGTAGGTGTCAAAGACTAGAATTCCAGAACCAACCAATCAGCATGGAAGAGGTGCTTTTTAGCTGCCAAGAAGAGGTCTTCTCCAGCTTTGTGCTGATTGGAGTCAATCGGAGTAAAAGGGGATGAGTCAGCCGCTGAGGATTAAGGGCCATTCTAGAGAAGGTGACTGTGGGGAACAGCAAAGATAAGCTGCTCTGTATCCTCCAAACGTAAGCATTGAGGAAAACTGAAAACACAAGGCGCTTTACTTTCAAAATAATGATTTGCAAGCCTTGTAGTGTACAATGGAACTTCAAGGGAAACACAACTTCCTTCTTCTTCTTCTTAATTTCATTTTGTTATGTACAGTGGTGCCTCACAAGACGAAATTAATTCGTTCCGCAAGTTTTTTCTTCTTGCGAGTTTTTCGTCTTGCGAAGCACAGTTTCCCATAGGAATGCATTGAAAATCAATCAATGCGTTCCTATGGAAATCGCCTTCAGACCAGGTCCGGGGACAGTCTGTCCCCCGACCTCTTCTGAAGGCTGGGGGGGGGCAAGGGCTTTTCTTCCCACCGCCAGGCTTCAGAAGGCTGTTCTGAAGGCTGGCGGTGGGAAGAAAAGCCCTTCTCCCCACCTCCCACCCCGCAAGCTCCGGGGACAGGAGGGCTTTGCTGCCGACCGCCAGCATTTTAAAAGCCCCCGGACAGCGGAGGTCTTCTGAAGGCAGACGGTGGGCGAAAGTCTTTGCTCCCCCCCGCCTGCCTTCAAAAGCCGTTCGGGATAGCGGAGAAACGCGCTGCGCTTCTCCGCTATCCCGGGAAGGCAGGCAGGGGGGAGCAAAGACTTTTGCCCCCCGCCGGCCTTCAGAAGAGGTCCAGGACCTCTTCTGAAGGCCGGAGGGGGGGGAAGGCTTTGCTCCCCACCGCCAGCATTTAAAAGAGGTCCCCAGAGATTTCCCTATGGGCTTTCTTCTTGCGAAGCAAGCCCATAGGGAAATTCGTCTTGTGGAACGACTCACAAACGGAAAAACTCTTTCGTCTTGCGAGTTTTTCGTTTTGCGAGGCGTTCGTCTTGCGAGGCACCACTGTACTGAGTTGAATAGGATCCAAAAGGTAGCAGTCTGATTGGTCCTAGAGCAATAGGATCCAGAATGCAGCAGTCTGATTGGTCCTAGAACAATAGGATCCAGAATGCAGCAGTCTGATTGGTCCTAGAACAATAGGATCCAGAATGCAGCAGTCTGATTGGTCCTAGAACAATAGGATCCAGAATGCAGCAGTCTGATTGGTCCTAAAACAATAGGATCCAGAATGCAGCAGTCTAATTGGTCCACAGGAGCCACCCAATCCAGCTCCAGGTGGAAGTGAATCCGCAACCTGATTGGCCTACAGATGAATTCCGGAATTAGCCAATCACGTGGGGCCCATTGTGTAAATAATGTATATAAAGCAGACATTCTGGGGGAACTTCCATTCCTCCTCACCACTATGAGCTGAATAAAGAGCATGAAATCCACTCTCGACTCCGAGTATATTTCACATTTCTATACCGCTTTATATTTTTAAGGGGGGCAGGGGGGGGAGAATCTCAAAGTGGTTTACAACACAAACACGTAAATGCACACATTTCTGCAAAACCATTTTCCTCGACGCAATGCACTTTTGTACAGTGGTACCTCAGGTTACATACGCTTCAGGTTACATACGCTTCAGGTTACAGACTCCGCTAACCCAGAAATAGTACCTCAGGTTAAGAACTTTGCTTCAGGTTGAGAACAGAAATCGTGCTCCGGCGGCACAGCAGGAGCAGGAGGCCCCATTAGCTAAAGCAGTGCTTTAAGAACAGTTTCAGGTTAAGTACGGACCTCCAGAATGAATTAAGTACTTAACCCGAGGTACCACTGTATGCTGTTTTCACATATACCCAGGTATGTGCATTTTGGTCCACCTTACTAGGCTGGAGAACCGCCTTGCAAAATTCAGAGAAATTATAATATCGAAGGGCAGTTTACCTATCATTTTTAGAAAGTGTGGATTAGGTAGATGAACTGATCTGAATCCCTTCTCCATTCCCAACTGGGGTGGGCACAATTTGATTTGATCTGGAAGAGTCAAATGCTTTCTTTCTCGCAGTCTTCCGCCCCCCCCCCCCCCGGCCGCTTTGCTGGCTTCCTTTTTTCTTTGCAGCAAGCTGATCCTGAACTAACAGGACCTCTATTTGAGGTTCAAGCCATGCAGGGAATTTTTTCTCTCCCCCGACCCCCCCAACTTCACTAGCAAAGCCGGCCAGCTATGCTGAACATGTGTCCTAGCACATGATGCCAACTGGAGCCAAACAATGAACTTTGGGGCTGGCTGCTTAGTTAACTAGGCAGTCCTAAGCCCTCTGGCAACCCCTCCCTGCAGAAACGAGATCTGGCTATGTTCCAGGTTATGTGCAAGAGACGGCGAAGAAGAATACGCGACCCAGCCACCCCAGACTTTTTCTTCTTTTCTTGCTTTTACTTGGAAAGGCCTCTCCCAGATAATATCCTGCTAATGATCCTGTTTAAAATTCCATCCTCGCATTTACTAAAGCCGGTCAAGACGAGGGGGAGGGAGAGAAGGGGAGGAGAGCAACACGCAGGAGGTCTCAAGATGAAAGGAGGAGAGGCGTTCACAAGAACGTAAGAGCTTAAACGCCTCAGGACCGCAATACCTCAAGGACCGCCTCTTGCCATATGAATCTAGCCAGCCCCTGAGATCATCTTCTGAGGCCCTCCGTGTGCCTCCTCCTCAAGAGGTCCAGAGGGTGGCAACATGAGAACGGGGTCTTCTCTGCAGTGGCTCCCCGCCTGTGGAATGCTTTCCCCAGGGAAGTATGCCTGGTGCCTTCATTATACAGCTCTAGGCACTAGGCAAAAATGTTCCTTTTAACCAGGCCTTTGGTTGGTTTGAATGACATCCCATGCCCTTTTAAAATGTGGCTCTTTGGGGGAGGGGTATTGGGTTATTGTTCATTTTACCGGTATATATTGTGATCTCTGGCCCAATGGTCGCCATCGGTTCGATTTGAATTCATCTTATAATGAATGATTTTAGAGTGTTGTGTTGTTGTGTTGTGTTGTACTGTTGTACTGTTTTATTGTTGTTAGCCGCCCTGAGCCCGGCTTCGGCTGGGGAGGGCGGGATATAACTAAAATTTATTATTATTTATTATTATTATTTTCTGTGAACCACCCTGAGGTATACGGTGGTATCAGGGCCAGATTTAGGTTTGATGAGGCCCTAAGCTACTGAAGGTAATGGGACCCTTTATATGTCCAGCTGTCCTTTGTCAACAACAAATTGTCGCTGTTTCTTGTGTTGAATATATGCTATATGGTAATTTATGGACCTAATAGGTATCTAAAGCCATTTGCACATGTTGCCGTGCAACCAGTCCATGCAGAATGAAGGCACCCTATAAATAAAGGTGCCCCTGCCCGTACGGGCCAGTCTTGACAGACTCTGGGGTTGTGCGCTCATCTCACTCTAGAGGCCGGGGGCCAGCGCTGTCCGGAGACACTTCCAGGTCACGTGGCCAGCGTGACAAAGCTGCATCTGGCAAGCCAGCGCAGCACACGGAAACGCCGTTTACCTTCCCGCTAGTAAGCGGTCCCTATTTATCTACTTGCACCCGGAGGTGCTTTCGAACTGCTAGGTTGGCAGGCGCTGGGACTGAACAACAGGAGCGCACCCCGCCACGGGGATTCGAACCGCCGACCTTTCGATTGGCAAGCCCTAGGCGCTGAGGCTTTTACCCACAGCGCCACCAGCGTCCCTATAAATAGAAAGGAGCAAACCAGTGGTATTTTAGGGAGCAGGCTAGCAGGCGTGGCCCATTACTTACATAATACGAGCCTACACAACACAAAACACTGTTGTTGTATGTAGGTTTTATTTTATTTTATTTTTTATCTTATATTTTGGAAATGTACATCCAGGTACATCCTACCTTGGCAGCTTCTCCCTCGTTAACATGTGAGGTCTTCTCCAGGGGTCCTTAAAATCCCTTTTAAAAGAATCGGGCAGGATCTTAGCCACCTCTGTCAAAAGAGACATGGAAAGAAAAGGAGACGTTATCTGATCAAAGACACTCATCATGTCAGGCTAGCACAGAGAATTTAAGAGGAAAGAACAAGCTGAAAATTAATCGAAGGGGTACAATGTTGACAGCATAGCTAGAGCAAAGTTATTTCTTATTCTCATTAGGAGCACCATAAATTTACATACAGGCACTTAACTCCCTTTCAGTACTTCAAAACCTGCAAATTAACCAGCATTTACTTTATTTAAAATCAATCCGTTCACATTTGAGCAGGTCAAATTATAACCATCCGTTGGGAATTTTTTCTAATTACAACCATCTTTGAATCTCAAAGCATGCACCATTCATGATTAATGACACCATTTTGATGCTATAAAACACAGCGCTATGTAAATCTTCCAAAGAATTGTTTACAGCAAATGAATTTGTGGAAGGAGAGCAGGGCAGTGTAGACACAAATGTCATTAGTGCATTTCTTACCCAAAATAACTTAACAGGCCGGGGGGATGAAATGACTGCGCTGTTAAGTTGTGGGTGAACATATCAGATGACACAGCGATTCTTCAGACAGCTCTTGTTTATTCATAGGCCAGAACAGAACTGAACTGAAGGGTTCAGCCAGCCTGCTTATATAGAGCTCCACTACAACGCAACAGTAACGACTTTCTGTAACTATCCAATCACTGAACGTCACTTTCAATCCCTTATTTGCATATGTGGACCTGAGAGAAAACTATCTACAGTATCCCCCTGCTGGCCCAGGGTGATAACTTCAGTACATAACATGCACATTCTTGATTAGTTTTAACAAATGTTGCTTAGAACGAACCACAGTTCCCTGGGATTGGACATACTGTGAAACCGTGGCTTGTTCCAAAGTCAACTCGGGTGATTTTGCTCTCGCTCACAGAAGAGGAGGAAAAGGAATGAGGAGCGGGCTAGCCCAAGGCTCACTGCAGCCAGGGAAATTTTGCTGCCTGAAATGAATAACAGGGTGACGGTGATTCTCCTTGCATGTACAGATAATGAGACTGGCAACACAAACTTAAGGCTGTTGCACAACAACCTTCCATTTTCCCTTGCACCACCTTCAGCTCCGTGGAGAAAAAGGAGGAATATAAATTCCATAAATGAATAATCGCTATATATAAAATTTATTTTATACAGTGGTACCTTGGTATTTGAACGTAATAAGTTCCGGAAGACCGTTCTACTTCCAAAACGTTCAAAAACCAAGGCTCAAATTTAATTGAGAAACACCCAGTGGAAGCCATTCGACTTCCAAGGCGCGTTTGAAAACGGAAGCATTTACTTCCAGGTATTCAGCATTCGAAAACCGAAACGTTCGACTTCCGAGACATTCGAAAACCGAGGTACCGCTGTATATGCAATTGTTTTAATATTGCATTTAGATATGCACCTGTTAGATATACATGTGCTTTCATTATATTGTAATCTCGCCACTGCTATCAGCATCGTACCTTTGGCTGCATCGCAGGCCGAGTTCTCCCCAAGGCACCCCCGTCTCTGCTTCAGGTCTGGGCAGGGGGTTCCTCCGTTCCGAGGCGGCACGGTGACCTGGCGAGTCCGGTCTTTGCTGCCCGTACCGCAAAGAGCATTGCATTCGCTCCAGGGACCCCAAGGGCCGACCACACAGTCAACAGCTGCTAGAGATGAGGGAAGAAGGGGGTGGAATAGGATAAACCAGGAGCGGGAGAGAGAGACGGCAAGGACAGTTGCAGCCCAGGGAGATTCCCCAAGTAAGAAGGGGGGGAATAGAAATGTTGATAAAGAGCAGAATGAATCAGGGTAGGTATGTGAAGGGGGGGAGAGAGAGAAGGATGGGAAACAGATCAGTAGAGTCACCAAAGTTGGCACAGAACCTTTCTCACCTGTAACTAGAGGCAGGCAAATCTATTTCCATTTCTCAGTTCCTCATTTTTCCAGACCTGTATTCAGTTCTCTATCTGTCCTCAGCAATAATAATAATAATAATAATAATAATAATAATAATAATAATAAACAACTTACCGTATTTTTTGCTCTATAAGACTCACTTTTTCCCTCCAAAAAAGTAAGGGGAAATGTGTGTGCATCTTATGGAGCGAATGCAGACTGCACAGCTATCCCAGAAGCCAGAACAGCAAGAGGGATTGCTGCTTTCACTGCACAGCGATCCCTCTTGCTGTTCTGGCTTCGGAGATTCAGAATATATTTTTTCTTGTTTTCCTCCTCCAAAAACTAGTCTTGTGGTCTGGTGCGTCTTATAGAGCGAAAAATACGGTACTCAAACTTGCTCAGCATTTTAGTGCAACTTTATCCTAACGCATTTTCATAAAGGGTTTCCTCTAATACCCAGTGGTTTTTATTTACAGTCGTACCTTGGATGCCAAACACCTTGTGAGTCAAACGTTTTGGCTCCTGAAAGCTGCAAACGCGGAAGTGAGTGTTCCAGTTTGCGAACGTTCTTTGGAACCCAAATATCTGGTGTGGGTTCTGCGGCTTCCGATTGGCTGCAGGAGCTTCCTGCAGCCAATCGGAAGCCGTGCCTTGGTTTCCGAACATTTTGGAAGTCGAACGGACTTCCGGAATGGATTCCGTTCGACTTCCGAGGTACCACTGTATTTATTTGGTATGGTACAGTCACGGACATGAGCACAGACATTTCCGCTTTACATATGCATTGTTGTACACTGCATTCAGTTAAAAAACTGCAATGTGAAATTCAGACACGTGTGACTTTCCGAGGGTACAGTGGTACCTCGGGTTACATACGCTTCAGGTTACATACGCTTCAGGTTACAGACTCCGCTAACCCAGAAATAGTGCTTCAGGTTAAGAACTTTGCTTCAGGATAAGAACAGAAATTGTGCTCCGGCAGCACAGCAGCAGCAGGAGGCCCCATTAGCTAAAGTGGTGCTTCAGGTTAAGAACAGTTTCAGGTTAAGTACGGACCTCCAGAACGAATTAAGTACTTAACCCAAGGTACCACTGTAATTCAAAGGATAGTGGTATACCAGTTCAGGAAGCGTAAATCGGGAAGCTTTGCGTTAAAATACAACCAAAGTTGAATTTCTCCTAGATCTCTAGCTGCGACGAAGCCACGGAAGGCCCCACCTTTTCTCCCTCCCACCCCCTGCTCAACTCATGGCTCATGTATGACTCGAATGGGCATCGCTAAAGAGACAGCTCTTGGAATCCTGAGGATTTCGGCGAGGCCAAACAGACCCGGGTATCCCCGTCGAGCAATAAGCCCCCTGTCTCCACTGGCAAAACATGTTAGCTTGCCCTTCCTTCTGACTCACTGCATCCAGTTGTCTTCTTGAGGCCTCATCCCATGGCTGTCTAGCCTGCTTGCTCCGAAATCCCACGCCTTACAGGGGAGGGTACCGTTGGCAGCCCAGCCCCCATAGCAAGCCCTCAATACACTCACCATCTCTTCCACCCCTTTCCCTGTCAAAAAAACACTCCATCAGGCAAAATGGAGACCTCATCCCGAAGCAAGAGACTTTCAGGGCAGTTCACAATCCAGGACAGACTGCGTTTGATCCCTGTCATCCGAGAGGCGGAGAAGAATGGAGAGAGATTCAGAGATGCACGACACATCTTTGCAAAAGATCCCATCCTTGCTTTATTTTTGACGGGTTTACCAGGGACAGTTGTGACTTCTTGGTCCCTCTATCATCTCCTTGGCTTTGTACCTCCCTCTCGTCTCTCTTTCTGCCTCTGAGAGAGATGCCTCCTTAAAATTTTAGTACAGTGGTACCTCAGGTTACATACGCTTCAGGTTACATATGCTTCAGGTTACAGACTCCGCTAACCCATAAATAGTGCTTCAGGTTAAGAACTTTGCTTCAGGATGAGAACAGAAATTGTGCTCTGGCGGTGCGGCAGCAGCAGGAGGGCCCATTAGCTAAAGTGGTGCTTCAGGTTAAGAACAGTTTCAGGTTAAGTACGGACCTCCGGAACAAATTAAGTACTTAACCTGAGGTACCACTGTAGTTCGAGTTTGCTAAAATTGTCCTATTTTGGGGTTGAAAGTGGAATGACTGCTTTAAATGTAGAGTGCAGATTGGGGGGGGGGACTTCTAAAACTGGTACTCAGCCTGCAACATACAACTTTGTTACATATATATTAAGTTCCTTGTTTATTTGGGGGGGGGGGAATGACGATCCGTGTTTATGTGTGGTATCAGTCACCTCCTTCCCCTCTTCTCCTCCAAACGTCGCCGTCTGAGTTGATATTTTATCCGCTTTCAGGCCAAGCGGCCCAATCTAAACATAAAACGCTATCCCCAAATTATGCTGCTTCCGTCATCGGTCCTTAATCCCTCGCTCGTGAGAAATTCCAGATGTGCTGACATCTGCTTCTCCTTTGCCAGGCTGAGAATAGGTTGTCTATCCATCGCACGGAGGCCCCCATTGTCCTGAATTAAGCAGAGAGGGGCCAGTTAATTGTCAAAAACCGCCATGTTGGGTCAATTCAAAGGATACAAGGCCGTGGTTCTTAGGGGCTGAAGAGGATTAAGCTGCCCTCAGCCCCCTCATCAACCTTTGAGGCCACTGACACTAGAACGGTCCCTTCCTGAAGGCCATGTAATGAGATCTACTTTTATTTCTTCTTTTTTAATCACTTGAAAACTCCACACCAAGGGAAGTGGTGGGTACAGAATCAGATAAGGATTTGTTTGAGACACAAGAGCTCGTAGATGGAAAAGATGCCTTTGAAGGAGAACCACTGGAAAGGATTAGATCGTGATGACAGGGGTGAAGTGACGAGAATGTCCTACTATATGACCTGGGAGACACGGGTTCAAATCCTCACTGAGCCATGAAGCTCACAGGGTGACTCTGAGCCAGTCACTGTCTCTCAGTCCAGGCTACCTCGCAGGGTTGCTGTGCGAGGATTAGATGGGGATGAGGAGAGCCGTTTATGCCGCCTTGAGTTCCTTGGAGGAACTGTGGGGTTTAAATGTAAGGATAAATTAATTAAGTAAACTATAGAGAGGTGGGCAGGGCGAAAGCAGAGATGTGTGCATTTGTCAGTTTTGGTTTTCCAGTTCTTCCATCTTAAATTGCGTTACTCCACATTTCTGCATCAGTTTGTGAATTTCTTGTTTAAGAAGCTGTCACGAAAAGTTGTCAACATCTTAGAGGACACTTATCCAAACTTTTGAATGCAGCTTTAGAATGCAAAAGAAAACCACCAAAAACAAAACCAGTAACTCACTAGAACAGCACCTCCTTTGCACGCAGAAGTTTCCAGGTTCAAATCCTGTCATTTCCAGGTAGTGCTTGGGAAAGAACTCAACCTGAAATCCCAGACAGTCCCTGCCAGTCAGTATAGTCAGTACTGAGCTAAAGGTAAAGGTAAAGGGACCCCTGACCATTAGGTCCAGTCGTGGCCGACTCTGGGGTTGCGACGCTCATCTCGCTTTATTGGTCGAGGGAGCTGGTGTACAGCTTCCGGGTCATGTGGCCAGCATGACTAAGCCGCTTCTGGTGAACCAGAGCAGCGCACGGAAACGCCGTTTACCTTCCCGCTGGAGCGGTACCTATTTATCTACTTGCACTTTGACGTGCTTTTGAACTGCTAGGTTGGCAGGAGATGGAACTGAGCAATGGGAGCTCACCCCGTTGTGGGGATTTGAACCGCTGACCTTCCGATCGGCAAGTCCTAGGCTCTCTGGTTTAACCCACAGCGCCATACTTGAACATTTTTAGACACACTGGAGAACTGGCACCCCCAAATCTGGAGAAGTGCAAATTCCAAAGGATGGCTGCATTATTTTGGTTTGTATCTTCTTTCAGGAAACGCAAACCGAACTAAATTCTTCCCAATCTCTGCACCTGGAAGCCTTCTTGATGCCCTCAACTTAATGGCATTAGTAACTAACCACAGATAAACTGAAATGGACAGATTTTCCCATCCCTAGTTAACAACAGAAACTTTCCCATGGCGAAGCCTCGAAACACGAAGGGTGCCCATTCTTTTTCCCTCCCAGCCTCCAGATGATTCCGCCCCTCTCTTTTTCTCCCACAGCCCTGTTCAGTCATTCATTCATGTGTGGTTCATCTGCCATCAGCGCTTATTTGCTCTGGCCAGAGAGAGACCCACACCTTCTCCCAAGAGTTTCACACGTGGTTTTCCTTTGCCGAGAAACAATCTGCAACAGTCTGTTCCCTGCATCCGATTCCATTTGGCTGAAAGATTTGGGGTGGAGGAAAGACCCTATGTTCCAAACACAACACCACCCCACTTTGCAAAAAAGAAGTAAGCCTTGTGAAGAAGAAATGTCTTTGCAGGCTTCCTAGTTTCCAGGAGATTAAACAATACTCACCTTACCATATCAACAGCAGAGCTCAGCTTGGAAGCCAACCAAAAATATTTTGTTTAGAGGGGTAGCTGAGGACACCATTTCGTAGTCTGATTCCAATGGTTCACAGATGGAAACAGGGATGCGCTTGGAACACTGATCAATTTTGTTCGTAATTTAATGAGAAAGTACCCAAATCAAGGGTGGTGCTGTGGGTTAAACCACTGAGCCTCTTGGGCTTGCCGATCAGAAGGTCGGCAGTTCGAATCCCCGCGACGGGGTGAGTTCCCGTTGCTCGGTCCCTGCTCCTGCCAACCTAGCAGTTCAAAAGCACGTCAAAGTGCAAGTAG